CACACACACACACACACACACACACACACACACACACACACACACCCGCTAGACACACATGTCTAAATCCAAACGTCTGAAGTTAGTCAATAAGCAAGATGGAATAGGAGTTATAATACAAGGAGGCAAATTTGACCTCACAGGTATCACTGTGAGACCTGGTGGGATAAAACTGATGACTGGAATTTGGTTCTTCTGTATGAGAATGCCTAATTCAAGGCAAAATGTGAAAGGCAGGGATGGGATAAGATTGTATATTGACAAAGTATGCTTATATAAGGAAATTCAGGAACTAGAAGTGGGAGCAACTGGGTGAAGGTCAATAGAGGGAGAAATAGCAGTGATTTTGTCCTGAGAGTAATATTATAAATAACCTGCGCAGAAAGAAGAAATAGAGGAGTTTGAGAAACGAATCATGAGTTTGGCACAGAAGAATAATAATTCAGTGATAGAATATATCTCTTGTTCAGACATCTGCTGGAGCATTCTCTCTGCCAAATGCAGAGCAATGGACAACTTCTTGACTTGCCTTAATGATAATTTCATCCTTTAAGGGATGGAGGAAACGTCTAGGGAAAATTTTATTGTGATTCTTCTGATTCTTCTGAATTTGATTCTTACCAGTAAGGAGGAACGAGTTGCTAGGATGGAAATGAAAGGACTTGTTGGGGAGAATGGTCTTCTCTCCATGTTAGAGCTTGTGGTGACAAGAAAGCCAGGTATAATCTCATGTGTGCCCTAGATTTGGGAAATCATATTTCAGAGAGTTCAGAAGAAGGGTTGATAGGAACCTATCAACTAAAAGTCTCATGGGAAACCAGCTCGAGAAGGTTGGGAAATTCTCAAGAATGAAATTTTTCAAGATAGAAAGGGAAACATTTTCAGTGGGAAATAAAAATGGGAATTGTCTAAAGAGACCAATTTAGGTACGTGGTGAACTCAACAAACAATTTAGATTTAAGAAAGAGCTATATAGAAGATGAAAATGAGGCCAAGTAACAGATGATGAATATAAGAGGTCCTATAAAAATAGTCAGTGAATGCTAAAGCTCAGAATGATCTGAGACTAGTGAAGGAAGTTAAATACACTTTTTTTTTGTGTGAGGTATTTGGGTTTAAGTGACTTGCCCAGAGTCACACAGCTAGTGAGCATTATGTGTCCGAGGTTGGATTTGAACTCAGGTCCTCCTGACTCCACGGCCGGGGCTCTATCCACTGCTGCCCCTAAACATACTTTTAAAAGGTTATTTTTAGCTAATAATTTCAGTGACAGTGAGTTCACTTCTCACAAGGCAGCCCATTCCTTTTAGGAAGTTTTTCTTTCTGTTGATTTGAAGTTTAGTTTAGTACCCTGCAGTTATACTAAATAAAACAAATACCTCTTCCATATGACAGTCCTAGAAATAACTGAAAATAGATCTCATGTATACCTATTCTTCCCTTCTTCCCCCAAGACTTTTCTTTAGGCTAAACATACCCGGTTCCTCTAGTTAATCCTCATACAGTATAATTTTGGATTCTTGCACCATCCTGTACCTCTTAAAAGACACTACACAGAAATGAGCATAATATTTAAGTCATGCTCTCTAAAATATACCGTATTTCTGTTAATGCAACCTAAGATAACTCACTTTTTTGGACAACCCTATCACATTTCTGCCTCATATTCAGCTTGCAGCCAACTAAAATTTTTAGATCTTTTCCCAATTATCTTTAATTTGACTTTCCTAACCATTCTTGTATGTTTTCTAATTTAATATCTTCACTGACAGAGAAGCCTGAAGCACCATAGGAGTTGAGTAGTTCTACTTTCTTCCTGATATTGAACATCTTGCTTAGTTGTGCTTTTTGCTTCAGCAAAATGTTATATTTGTTCTCTTTATCTGATGGTTTTTTAAAGTTTTTCAGTCTTGATCCTTCTCGACTTGTTTGCTGAGTTTGACACTGATGCCCACCTACTCCCTAGCGATACTCTGTCCCAGGTGGATTTTTAACAGCGCTCGTTCCTGGTTCTCCTTCTTGTCTAATTAAACCTTCTCCGTGTTCTTTGCTGGTTCATCATTCGTATTCTGCCCCCTCACTGCAGCTCCTCGCCTCTCTTCCCCTCTCTTCCCCTCACTTCACCCCTCCTCCCTTGGTGCCTGGCTCCTGTGCCTTTAACTATTATCTCTATGCAGATGACTCACAGATTTATCTTTCCAGCTGCATTCTCCCCCAAGAGCTTCAGTCCTGCATTCCCAATTTACCTATTGGATGTTTCAAACTGGTTGCACCTGGAGACATCTCAAACTTAGTATGTCAGAAACAGAACTATGACATTTTTCGCCTAAGCCCACCGCCTTTGCAAATGTCTGTATTTATGTTGAAGGCACCACCATCCTCCCAATTTCCCAGGTTCAGTAGTCTCTGCATTATTCTTGACTCCTCACTCTCCCTCACCCCATATAGCCAATCATTTGCCAAATCTTACAGTTTCTATCATGCATCTGTCCCTGTCTCTCTACCCATACTGCCAACATGTTAGTTCAGGACTTCTTGCCTGACTTGTTGCAATGTCTTTTTATTTTGGTTTTAGTTTCAAGTGTCTCCCCATTCCAGGCCTACCTCCACGTAGCCACCTGAGTCATTTTCCTTTAGCACGCATCTGGCTACTTACCTACTCAGTAAACTTCAGTGTTTCTCTATTGCTTCTAAGATCAAATACAAACTTCTCCTTTTAGCTTTTAAAGCCCTTTACACCCTAATCCCAACCTCTCTTAGCAGCCTCCTTGTTCTTTTACCCCGTCCTAGCTTAGCTATGTAGTCAGACCCACCTTCTGTCCTCTGTCGCTATGCCTTTACCCTGGTCATCCTCCAGGCCTGGAATGCACTCCTTCTTTGCTTCCACCTAATAGAATCTCTCATTCTTTTTATAATGACTTACTCAGCTAAAGTAGCACTTTCTACACGAAGTCTTTCCTGATCCTTCCAGCTACTAGTGCCTTCTGTTCCAAACAACTTGTACTGCACGACTATGTTCTTATTTGTATTGATTCTCTAGGTATTTATTCAATATGCACTTTTTTATTTAAATTTTTTTTTCATTTAACAAGTATTTATTTTCTCTCCCATCTCACCAACTCTTACTGGGTGGGGGATGGGGCTTGGGGAGGAGGAAGAAAAGCAAAACCCTTGTAATGAATGTGTGTTATAAAAACAAATTGCCCACATTCATATACAGTAATTTGTTCAGCCATTCACCAGTTGACGGGTACTCCTTTAGTTCTTTGTCACCTCAAAAATATTTTTGTACCTTTAAGTCTGTTAGTCATGAGAACAAAACCCCAAATCTGAAATAGTTTTAGAAATTTATTTGGTCATTTGGCAGAGGAGAGAAGTAGGCAGAAGTAGGGACGTCTTCCTCTCCACTTTTTGGGAGATTTACATTGTATAGGGTTCAGACAAGAGTACCAGAACAAACTGCCAATACAAGCAAAGCAGTTAAGCAAGATTGAAGAGGGGGCAGTGCCCAGACATGAGGCCTTGAGGCTGCAGGTTCCTCACCTTTGAATCCTGTGCCATGCACAGTGCTAAGTGCTAGATACGAAGAAAGGTAAAAAATAAGCTCTGCTCTCAAGGAGCTCCCAATGTCATGGGGGAGACAATATGTAAACAAGTACATACAGGCAAGATATAGATGGGATGAACTGTAGATAATCTCAGATAGCAGGCACTGAGATTTAGGAGAACTGGATGAGGGTCTCTTGTAGGAGGTGAGACATTAGCTGAGACTTGAAGGAAGCCATGGAAGTCAGGAGGCAGAGTTGAGGAAGGACAGAGTTCTAGGAGTGGGGGACAGCCAGAGAAAATACCCATAGTTGGGAGATGGAGCGTCCTGGACAAAGAGCAGCAAGGAGGCAGTTGTCACTACATCGCCATGTATGGGGAAGCAGTCAATAAACATTTATTAAGAGTCTCCTGTGTGTCTGGCACTGTTCTAAGGGTAGGGGATGCAGATGTGAAAAAGAAAGATGTCCTTGGATGGCAGAATAGGTGGAGGGGAATGAAGTCTAGAGAGGCTGGAAAGGGTGACACTCATAAGCTAACTTCCTTTGCGATCTCTCTCCCTTCTTTCACCTCAGATCATAGGTTATATATAAAATGTTATCTTGTGATTTTTTTTTCCCTTACTTTAACTGTAACATTGGCCCTAGTGAAAGCAAGTTAAATTAGTTACATAAATATAGTTATCCATCTCTGAGATTCTATGATTCTATAAATAGAGCTTGTTCCTGAACCAATTCAACTAATGTTTATTATGTGCCTACAGTGTACAAGTCTTTGGATATCAGAAGACTCTGCCTTCAATAAGCTCATGTTCCACTGAGGCAGAGATTCCTTATAGACTTTTTGCTCAGAGAGTGGTTTATACCTCTGTAAAGTACTAAAGTTTGGAAGGTGGGAAAGCCAGTTGGTTTTTGATAGAATGTGCTAGATGGAGCCTTTATACCAAATTAGGTATTTTGGCTAATCAACGCATATAGTAAAATTATAGTCATTTTTGGACATGAAGTTCACAATTGTTTTATCTTTAATTATATGACATTCTGTTCATCAAAAAATTATATTCTGATTGTCTAGAATCTTTGTTTTCCACAAATCAGAAGATGAAGGGATCTTCTGAAGGAAGATAGGACAGACAGCCAAAGCCTGGAAGGATGTGACAGTAGGGAATGACTTAATACAGATGTTTCATGATAATATATTAATGACAGTATTGTGAAATCCCATTTGAAACTTTATGTGGGGTATTCTTGTACAGACTACTTTATCATAATTAATTTTATGGCACAGTTTCCAGAAATGTATTATAAGAAAAAATGAGGACTGCTTGCAGTCGTGTTTGATCTTTAAATAGTACAATATAATTCGACAGTCAGCTGTAAGCACTTCCTATGCCCATAACAAAAACTTTATATATTTCTATTCTTTATCATACTTATAATCTGTTCTCTTTTAAGGGAAAACTCTGAAAAATTCTGAAACCTTAATGCATCTTGGAGTTAATCCAGAAGACGTTGTAAAATTGGAATTATATTCCTCAAATCCAACTCATTATCCAATCAAAGCAGTATTTCGAAAAATGCAGGGTATTCGCGATATCATAACTGTTAGAGTGCAATCTGGTAATTAATTTGATTTTATTTCAATGTGTTTTGCAGTCCTTTAAAAAATGCCACATTTAAACTCACTGTTGTGAATTGTTTATCCACCCTTGGTTTTCACCCATATAGGTGTTAGAATGTACCAAGATGTAACTGTTGAGATTGAAAGAATTGACTTCCACAAACCATTTCTGGGTGGATTCAGACATAAAATAACAGGAACAGAATATCATAATGCAGGGACACAAACAGCACCCAAAAAACTACCTATAAAAACGAACATCTTTTCTAGAGAGACCCAGGTAAGGTTTGTGATTTTCCATGTGATTCTCTAGGTTATTAATAGAACCAAGTACATTGTTACATGACTGTCAGAAACTAAATTGGTAGAAATAATCATGTGTGAAGAGCATAATAATCAGAAACAGTAAAAACTGAAAGGTAAATAGTATGGAAAAAAACTTTGTTTAGTTTAGTGTGTTAATATATATCAGACAATAATTTTAACTCAATTAAAATATCCTTAGTAAATAGAATACCTTAGGGTTTCAACCTTCTAGTTAATTTTAACATAGCATATGTTTTTATTCCAGACGGTCACTGAGAGAAAAAAGCTCATAGCAACTACAAGCAGAACATCTACACAGATGACTAAAATTGGTGTGTATGTGTCTAATATGACTGATAAACTGATAACTCCAGGAAAATATTTTACAGCAGCTCAATATCATGCACGAAGATTGGCAGCGGTAAGTTCTTTATGTTCACATGGTTGGGCACTGAAAATGCTAGATTACCTGCTTGTTATTTCTGGTGGAGTGCCTTAGGGCATCCCACAGGTTAGACCCTCCTGAGCTGGCTTCCTGAGATTCTGGGTGCTCTTTGGATCTGCATTCACTGAAACTATTCTGTAAGTCATAAGCCCCCATCGACGTGTTTAACATTGCTAACCAGCCAGAGGATACAATTAATTCAAAGCCAAACCATATAATAAAGTGGTATAGTAAGGAAAGGAGCAGTAAGATGTTTCCCCCATAAACCTAAAGTACATTCTGTCACAAATTCATACACTTATTAGTAGGAAGATTGGATACGTGTGGCTAGAGCGCAAACATGGAGGGTAATAAGTTTTGGGAGCACGTATGGCCAGGCCACACTCTAAGGGCTACTTAGATCTGGTGCTGCAGGTCTGCTGATATTTTCCAGGAATGTCATTGGTCTGCGCTTGGTGAGCCTGTTGCCTGCTCATCTGCAGTAGAAATGTCGTCTCTACCAGCTGCCTCTCTGCTGGACAAGTAGTCTTGACTATTTGCTGCTCTGGAGGTTGATTAGCTGAATGCTGCCCTGCTGGACTGACTGCTGGATTAGTTGGTAGAGATTATGTTGGATGCTGCCTGGCACAACCACATTGGTCAGTAGTAGTAGAATTTCACTGTTTCCAGCATCTGGTTTCAACTGAAATCCTTCGGTATATCATTTTCTTTTTCTCATGTAAAGAATGAGTACTTCCCAGCACTCTAGTTAAACAATCAGAGGCTTTTTAGGAAAGCAGCAGTCCTCAGTCATAGAGACACCTGGCTTGTTAGTGACCTGGCTGGTCCACTTCAGAATCTTAGCTGTGAACGAGGCTTGTCTTTAAATTCTTTATTTGCAAATTTTTGATAGCTTTTTACAAAAATCACCTTCATTTATGAATGTGTTCTTCCCTTTCCCCTGCCCAGCATGCCATCCTTGGTGGCATATTCTTCTACCAAAGAAGTGAAACTAAATTGGTGCAGTTTTTTTAAAAAGCAATGATACCATTATAAGAAGTGCAAAATTCTTTATCCAGTGATTTCACTACTACCTACCATAAAGATGTTTTTGACAATAATGGAAATATTTATGCAAAATATTCATATTAGCAATAGCAAAAAACTGGAAATAACACGTGTCCAACTGTTATAATTGTTAAACAACTTATGGCATATAAACATAATAAGATAGTATTATTCCAAAAGAAATGACAAATATGAAGAAAATAAAGACATGGGAAGACCTACATAAACTGACAAGATTGAAGAAAGTAGTCAGTATATTAATTATAGCCATATAACCATATAATAGAATGCTAACAAAATTTGGGAAATGTAACAGAAGAAAAAAAGTTCAGGAGGACATATGGAAACAAAACAAGATTTTTAAAATTTCATTCTTCATAGAATCACAGAATTTCAAAGTTGGAATGGACCTCAAGAGCCTTCTAGCCCAACCTTTACCTGAAAAGGAATCTTCACTTTAGCTTATCAGATAGTAGGTTATCTAGCCTCTAATTGAGGACCAACAGTAAGGGGGAGGGACTCACTATTTATGAAGCAACGCATTCCACTTTTGGATGGTCATCAAATCTAAATTTGTCTCTTTGTAAATACTACCCCTTGCTCCAGTTCTGGCACATAAAACTAGCCTGATTTCTCTTCAGTGCACCCTTTTAATACTTGAACACAAGTATTCAGGTTCACATGTGGCCCTGATGCCATAGGTTCTCCACCCCTGATTAGGTACTCTCAGAGGCTTCTCTTTGGCAGGTCATCATCCTCACTTAGTTATGTGGCATGAACTTCTTGTCTTTCACTATTGTGTTTTCCCTCCTCTGAATGTTCTCCAGCTTATCAGTCTTCATTTTAAACCATGACACCTACAACTGAGCCCAGTATACCATATGTAAGGCAGAATACAGAGATACTATCATCATCTGTTGGAGGCTTTTTCTCCTTCAACAGCCCAAGATTAAGGCTATCATAGCGTAATGTTGACTCATAATGAGCTCACAGTCCATTAAAAGCCCCAGATCTTTTTCAGAGGAATTGCCATATAACCATATCTCCCTCATCTTGCACTTGTAAAGATGATTTTTTGAACCCCAGTATTAAGACTTTACATTTAGCCTTATTAAATTTTATCTGATTGGGTCTAGCTCAGCAATCTCTCTTGTAAGGATCTTTTTGGATTCTGACTCTGTTATCTAGTGGGTTAGCTCTCCCTCCCAGCTTTATAAAATTTGCAGATTTACTAAGTGTGCCATCCAAGCCTTTGTCCAAATCATTGATGGAAATGTTAACACAGCATACAGCCAAGCATAGATCCCTGGAGCACTCTATTGCAGACCTCATGCCACCATTAATCACTATTTGAGTTTGAGTAACCAACTAGCTCTCTTTTTTTTAATTCCATTCAAATTTTTTTTCTGTTTCAAATTCTCTCCCTTCCACCTGTCCTTCCCTCACTTATTGAAAAGGCAAGAGAAACAAACTCATTGCAAATACATACAGTGAAGCAAAACAAATTCCCACATTAGCTATGTCCTTCCCTCTCCAAAAAAAGGAGAAGGAAATATGCATTAATCAGTACTCTGAGTCTATCAACTCTCTATCTGGAGGTAGATAGCATGTTTCATCATTAGTCCTTTGGAATTGTGGTTGGTCATTGTGTTTATAGAGTTCCCAAGTCTTTCTTTTTATTTAACTTTTGAAACATTTTTTCCAATTACATATAAAAATTTTAACATTCATTTTTAAAAATTTTGAGTTCCAAATTCTCTCCCTCCCTCTTTTCCTCACCCCTCCCCCCCCATTGAGAAAGCAAGCAATTTGATATAGGTTATGCATGTGCAGCATGCAAAACATATTTCCATATTATTCATGTTATGAAAGAAATCACAGATTAAAAAACCCCAAGAAAAAGAAAAAAAGTTTGAAAAGTCTGATTTGATTTGCATTTAGACCGTATTGGTTCTTTCTCTGGAGGTAATGGATAACATATTTCATCATGAGTCCTTCAGAATTGTCATAGATCAATGTATTACTGAGAGTACCTAATCAGGGGTGCAGAACCTATGGCTTCAGGGCCACATGTGACCCTAGAGGTCCTCAAGTGTGGCCTTTTGACGGAATCCACACTTGAAGACCTGGAGAACAACGTATGACCTTGAGTCCACAGGTTTCCCACCCCTGATCTAAATCATTCACAATTGATCATTGTACAATACTGCTGTTCCAGGAGAACAATGTTCTCCTGATTCTGCTCGCTTCACTTTGCATCAGTTCATGTAAGTCTTTCCAAGTTTTTCTGAAAGCATCCACTTGTCATTTCTTATACCATAATAATATTCCTTCATAATCATATACCACTCTCTTCTTTCCTTCCTTATTTCCTTTCATTCCTTCATTTTTTTCTTTCATCTCTTTGGGATACAGATCTAGTAGTGGTATTGCTGGGTCAAAGAGTTTTATAGCCCTTTGGGCATACTTCCAAATTGCTCCCCAGAATGATTAGATCAGTTCACATCTCTGCCAATAGTGCATTGGTATCCCACTTTTCCTATATCCCTTATTACATTTTTCATTTTCCTTTTCTGTCATATTAGCCAATCTGATAGGTGTGAGATGGTACCTTAGAGTTCTTTTGATTTGAATTTCTCTAATCAGTAGTGATTTAGAGCATTTTTTCATGTGACTCTAGACAGCTTTGATTTCTTCTTCTGACAACTGCCTATTCATATCCTTTGACTATTTCTCAAGTAGTGAATGACTTGTATTCTTATAAATTTGACTCAGTTCTCTATATATTTGAGAAATGAAGCCTTTATCAGAGAGACTTACTGTAAAATTTTCCTCCCAGTTTTCTGCTTTCATTCTTGGCTGCATTGTTTGTTTGTTTTTGTGCAAAACTTTTAAATTTAATGTAATCAAAATTATCCATTTGATATCTCATAATGCTCTCTATTTCTTCTTTGGTTATAAATTCTTCCCTTATCCATAGATGTGACAGGTAAACTATTCCATGCTCCTTTAATTTGCTTATGGTTTCACCTCTTATATCTAAATCATGTGCCCATTTTGACCTTATCATGGTATATGGGGTGAAATGTTGGTCTGTATCTAGTTTCTGCCAAATTGGTTTCCATTTTTACCCAGAAGTTTTTGTCAAATAGTGAGTTTTTGTCCCAAAAGTTTGGATCTTTGGATTTATCAACCTCTAGATTATTATAGTCATTTACTACTGTGTATTGTGAACCTAATCTATTCCACTGATCCACCACTCTGTTTCTTTGTCAGTACCATATATATATATTTTTTGATGATTATTGCTTTGTAAGACAGTTTGAGATCTGGTACAGCTAAGCCATCTTCCTTCACATTTTTTTTCATCAGTTCTCTTGATATTTTTGACTTTTTGTTCTTCCAAGTGAATTTTGTTATTAATTTTTTCTAGCTCTACGAAATAACTTTTAGTTGTTTGATTGGTATGGCACTGAATTAGTAAATAAATTTAGGTAGAATTATCATTTTTATTATATTGGCTTGGCCTACCCATGAGCACTTAATATTTTTCCAGTTGTTTAGATCTGACTTTATTTGTGTAAAAAGTATTTTGTAAATGTGTTCATTTAGTTCCTGGATTTGTCTTGGCAGGTAGACTGTCAAGTGTTTTATATTATCTACAGTTATTTTAAATGGAATTTCTCTTTCTGTCTCTTGCTGCTGGGCTTTGTTGGTACTATATAGAAATGCTGATGATTTATGTGGGTGTATTTTATATCCTACAACTTCACTGAAGTTGTTAATTATTTTAGCTAGTTTTTTAGTTGGTTCTCTAGTATTTGAAAGGTACCATCATGTCATCTGTAAAGAATGTTAGTTTTGTTTCCTCACTGCCTATTCTAATTCTTTCAATTTCTTTTTCTTTTCTTACTGCTATAGCTAGCATT